GCCATGAGCTTCATTAAGTGTAGGTCTGGAAGGAGGGAATGAGGGAAGTTAAGAGAAAAGAAAGGAAGGAGGGAAGGAGGAAAGGAAGGAGGGAAGGTATGTGAGGAGGGGGGGATGGAGAGAGGAAAGGGAGGGGGAAGGAAAGGAGAAAAGGAGAAAAGAAGGGAGGGAAGGAAGGAGGGAAGGAGGCAAGGGGGGAGGGAAGAAAGGGGAGTGGAAAAGAAGAAACGAGGGAAGGAAAGAGGGAGGGAGGGAAGAAGATACCTAACCTTTGATGTCTATAATGATTTTGATATTATGGGAATATCTCGAAACGTAGTCAAATGTAAAGCAAAGCAGTGGTGGATGTTGTATTGTCTTTTATAAGTTATTGATTGTTGTATTTTTCTTTTACTAATAAAAATAAAAAAATACATAAAGACAATCTTTGCTTTATGTTTCACAATATTTCAAGTTATTTATTGGTTGGAGGTGCTGCCACAAGGTGGCAGCACAGAGTTAACCAGATCTTTTTGGCTATAAATTTTAGTTAAGCTTCATTATAAAATAAAAATACAGGAAAATTTAAAAAAAAAGTGGTGACTTCGACTTTTTTTTCAGTGCATTAAAATACATAAAGACAACCTTTGCTTTATGTTTCACAATATTTTAAGTTACTTATTGGTTGGAGGTGCTGCCACAGGAATTTTTTTAAAACACTAAAAGAAAGAGAAAAGTGGAAAGAGAAAAAAAGTGGTGAACCTGACTGTTTTTCAGTGCATTAAAATACACAAAGATAACGTTTGCTTTACGTCTCACAATATTTCAAGCTATTTCTATAGTAATAAAATCATTCTCATCACCAAAATCTAAAATCAAAGTTTCACTTTTTCCCAGTTTCGAGCAAAACATCCAGAAGCAGTTTCCAAGTCGAAACAAAACTAGAGATGTTCTTCCCTTTAATTTAAAGAGTTTAGGCATAGTTGCACCTGAATCCATCAGACTCCAAGTTGGCTGGGGTATCCTGGGAGTTGAAGTCCTCACACCTTAATATAGCTAAGGATGGGAAATCCTGTTACAGCAGGACCTGAGAACAGCCCACCTTTTAGCTGCTATTCAGGAAACTAATTTGGTTTTCCTGCTAAGAGATACCACGCCTTGTTTATTCTGCGATAGAAATCTTCAAGGCCTCCGAGTTGGTTTGTTCTTTTTGTTTTGTAGGTACGACAATCACAGGGAAGCTCTTTTGAAAGGAGGCGTTGATGGAGGCTACCAAGATGACAGTCTGGATTTGGTCCTGTATTTCACCGTTACGTGTTATTCTGGCTACGAGGATGATAAAAAGGTCAGGCTTAAGCGCTCACCTGCACAAGTAACATTTACCTTTGGGTGACCCCTGAGACCAGCATAGCATCTTGCTACTGCTGGTGACCCAACAGGTTCCAGGCTGAGATGCAGTCACCCCCGAGGCTAACAATGCTGCCACCTTCTAAGCTGCCCTCCTCAGCCATTGATGCTGATTGCTTAGAGGGGGCTGTAAAGCACTATGAAGTGATATAGATGAAGTGGTATAAGTGCTATGGCTACTTCCCTCCAGGTGTTCCTTGTGAGGAGGGGTGGGAGGTGACCTTCTCCCAAGTAACCTTCTCTGGGCTTGCCTACACTCTACTTTGCTTGGATCGAGTGGAGTAGACAGCTGTTCCTCATCAGAGGAGATTGGCCGCCCATCAGCACCACTGCCTGTCCACAGCCAATCCTCCCCTGGGTCTGTGCAGGCAGGCAGCTCTCTATCTGGTCGACCTCCTCCCCCAATGCCTGAGGGTCCCGGGACAGCATTGTCCTCAGTCCTTGGCATGCCTTCCCTGTCAAACAGTCCCAGTTCCTCCTCCTCCTCCTCCTCCTCCTCCTCCTCCTCCTGCAAACCGGGGTCTGAGTGGGCCATGACAAGAACAATTAATCAGCGGAATGACTTGCCTCCAGAAGTTGTGGATACTCTAACCCTGGAGTTTTTTCAGAAGAGGTTGGACATCCATTTGTCTGAAATGGCATAGGGGCGTGACAGGTGGCACGCAGAGCCCTCTGCAGGCATGTGAGCTGTCACCCCAGCTTAGCTCTGCTGCGCATGCGCGCACGCCTCCTGCTAGCCAACTGCTTTTGGGTTCTCTGCCCAAAAATGTGTGGGGGACAAGGTGCATGTGGGAGACACACACGCATGCGTGGGGGGGGGGCAGGGAGTTGCATGCACATGCACAAGGGGAAGCCCAGGGCTACATCCCCCCCCCCCCGTGGCCCGTTTTTCGTCCCATAAGGCTGCAGCGAGGCCTGCTAGGCCCAAAATGGGGCACAAGGGGGGGTCATGCGCATGTGTGGGGGGAGCGTACCCATGCGCAGGGGGGCAGGGCGCACAGGGGGGTATCATATGCACATTGCATTGTGGGTATGGGCTATTGAGCACATGTGCTTTCAGTATGCAACGATAAAAAGGTTAGCCATCGCTGGGATAGGGTTTCCTGCCTGAGCAAGGGATTGGACTAGAAGACCTCCAAGGTCCCTTCCAACTCAGTGATTCTGCTGATTCAGCTAGAGAGAAGTCATTTATTTGTGGAAGGAGATACAACAATTTTATGGGATTACAAATATGAGGAGATGAAACCTTTAAGTCTGCCAGCTCTGTTTTCAAACATAAATGCCTGCCAGGAGAGCTCACTGTCAACAGTTCAGGAAACNATCCAAGGACCAGGGGTGGGTTTCAAAAAAATTTGGAACCTCTTCTGTAGGTGTGGCCTGCTTTCCGGGTCCACTGGTGGAACCTCTTCTAACCAATTCAGTAGATTTGACAAACCGGTTCCACCGAATAGGTGCGAACTGGTAGGAACCCACCTGTGGAACACAACATCATAATGCAAATGTTGCCTTGTGGATACAGACACGCAGCATTATGACACAGGGACAAACAGAGTGAAACTTGCGTGATTTCCTTGTTTGCCGTCCCTAAGGAAGCTGGTAGATGTAACTTACAAATGAGAGGAATATGTTTGCTGAAACTGGGCAGTTTTGTTTGTGTAGGTTGAAGAGACTGGCTAGTTTTTTTGGTCTCTTATAAAAGGGGCCCACTCCTGCTTTTTGAAGTTTGTGTGTTCCCCTGTTCATTCATTCATGTGTTCATTCATTCATTCATGCAACCCGGATGGATTAGTATGCTCCCAGTGAAGTTGAGGAAATAAGAATGGATTTAGCCTGCATGAATCTAGGCAGCATAATAAGAGACCTCTCTTTAGAGGTGCCCCATTGACTGAAAACTTGGACTTTCCGCAGGGAAACCCAGTGATTCATTCACACACTGTAGTCTTTGAGAACTGCTTAATAATTGTGAGAATAAAGTTTTGCTAAGGGCAATCTAGTCTCAACGAAAGAGTAAAAGGTCATGCACAATCAAGAGATATTATGCTTAATGCATTAGTTCAGAATAATTGGATATGCAGAAAGATGCTGATATTGTTATTCATAATAGCCAAAACTTTATCTGTACTTTTGTTATTTGCTATGTTTGATAGAACTAATTGACTATAGTTGATTGCCCAGAAAATGTCACATCATTCTGCTTTTGACTAGACAATTGCTGAAGAAGTTTTTCAATACTTTCCAGAGGGAATGTCATAGATGGCTGTCCTTCTCCCTCATTGAATTACTGCTTTTCAGAAGCTTTTCAGATGAGGGGATGGAAGGGGAACTCATCAAACTTGCAGATGACACCAAGCTGGCAGGAATAGCCAACACTCCAAAAGACAGGATCAAGATAGGGAAGAATTTTGACAGACTTGAACACCGGGCCCTATCTAACAAAATGAAATCTAATGATAAGAAAAAGTAAGGTTCTATGTTTAGGTAAGAAGATCACACTTAGAATATTGCATCCGCTTTCGGTGGCCACAAAATAAAAAAGATGTTGAGTCTCTAGAAGGAGTGCAGAGAAGAGCAACAAAGTTGATTAGGGGAAGGGAGATTAAAACACACGAAGAACGGTTGCAGGAATTGAGTATGTCTAGTTTGATTAAAAGAAGGACTAGGGGAGACATGATGGCAAGTCTTCCAATATCTGAGGGGTTGCCACCAAGAAGAGGGAGTCAAGCTATTCTCCAAAGCACCTGAGGGCAGGACAAGAA